CGCCTGGGTGGCTCAGTTGGTTAAGCATCTGACTCTTGATTTCAACTCAGTTCATGATCTCACTGTTCGTGAATTTGAGCCCTGTATCAAGCTCTGCGCTGGCAGTGAGGAGCCTGCTTGGAATTCTCTCTCTCTCCCTCTCTCTTTGCCCCTGCCCCACTCACCTTCTCTCACTCCCTCTCAAAATAAATAAATAAACCTAAAAGAGAAGAAAGAAGAAAGAAAGAAGAAGGAAAGAAAGAAAGAAGAAAGAAATAAAGAAAGAAAGAAAGAAAGAAGAAAGAAAGAAGAAAGAAAGAAGAAAGGTGAATGAAGTTACCAAAGGCTTCTCACTTGCCTTTCACAGCTGTGGAAGAGGACTACAATCCAAGTCTGTGTGGCTCTGGGGCCCATGCTCCCATGTGTCTATGCCTGTATTTTGTAGACCTGGTACTGCTGTGCCCTATGTGTCTGCCCTTGGGTCAGAAGTCCTGGGGAAAGAGCACAGACTGTTTTTTTTTTTACCTGAATCCTCAGTCCCTGGCACAGAGGAAATAATAGTGTTTGTTGAAAGATCAAAATGTACCTTTGTCCCTTCCCTGTCCCCTGGCCCTCTCCCTCTCCTCCCAGGCCTTGCAGCAGCCAACACTTGGAATGTGAAGAGCCTTCCACGTGTCCATTCTCAGCTGGTGCTAAGGCTCAGAGGAAGGAACTGGCTTGTGACTTGTCTGTCCTGTAGCTGTCCTCCAAAGGAAGCCCCTCCCCAGGGCTGCCTGGGCCCAGGGGCATGTCCTTAGTCCCTAGAGGAGATAATGCCTTTGTCCCTACTCAGATAAACAAACAGAGCCCGCTAGATGTGTAATTCGAGGTGCAGGAGCAGCGCCCCACCCACAGAGATGGGCCTGGCTTTCCTCCCAAGGTCACCAGCAGGAGCCTGAAGATAGCTAGGTCCAGTTAGATGGAAGGGTCAAGCTTAGCCCATTTTGTAGATGGATAAACAGGCCCAGAAACATGGGAGCCCTGTTCCCAGGCCTGCAAGGCCACCAGCTTCCCTGCCTCTTCCCACACATAAGTACAGAGCCTCAGGGTGGTCCCACCACATGGGGATACTATTCACAATGTGGTCTCCATATAGGCACCCCTAGAGTTTTGTGACCTGGTGGCCTTTTTGCATACAGGTATGCATGTGCATGCTCACTTCACCACCACCCATGATGCTGGGCCCCTATAGACCCTTCTACTTTCCC